TACCTTCGGTATACTTAGATATCATATCAGAAAAATGACCCAACCCTCTAACCTTTCAGAAGACTTCGACGCGCCCCTTTTTCAGCCAGAGGCTGAAAAAGATAAAATGGGAGGCCAGGTAATTCACTACTCCGGTGAGGATTATTTGGTAGGTATCCCAACCCGTGACAATATAGTTGCGGAAAATGATGAAGGGTTGTCTGCAATTCTCAACAATGCTTTGGCTGAAGGAGAAGAGATTCCTTTTATGGCTGTTGATTTTGAGGGTTCGTCAGAAAAAATAGGTGAAAAGTACCGTTACGTCTTGCGTCTTTACGGCTCTCTTATCAATGGCCAAAAAGCTGTAGTTACCATTGCGGGAATCCGAGTATTCTTTGACATTCGCGTACCTGAGAGGGAATCTGTAGACGACTTTAAGATAAAAATAAACGAAATTCTCTATAGTGCCATAAACACTTATAAAATAGAGCCTATCGAGGCCTTCCCTTTCCGTGGTTATCATACAGAAAAAAAGTTATATTTACGAGTTTTTACACATGGTACTGGGGATAGAAAGAAAGCCCTCCAAGCCATCCAAGATAATAATTTCGAAACCGCTTCAGATGATGTGTCCTCATTTCATCGTAAAGTAGCTAGAGAGAATAGAATCGCAATATCTGGTTGGTCTATGATGAGCAGGTATAGACACAGAAATCATCCCCACTATACACACGATTTTTACGTTTCTGTAAATCATTTTCGACCAGTAGAAGACCTAAAAATACTAAGTGATTGTTTTCCAATTTCAGAACTCATAAGAGATCGTACACTCATCCTCACATGGGATATAGAGACACAATCACAAGAGTTGGGTGAATTTCCTGAAGTACATAATAAAGAAGATAATATATTTATGATTTGTATGACCTTGCATTGGAAAGATGACCCAAAACCACTAAAACAAATTTGTCTCGTCGATCTTGAAACTGCGCCAGACCCACGCTGGATAACAGTTGTATGTAAAAATCAGCCAAATTTACTAAAGGCATTCGCATTATGCTGGAGAGCCTTTCAACCCGATATCCAGTTCGGCTTCAATGATTCTGATTATGATTGGCCATTCATTGTGGAGAGAGCTTGTAGACTTAACCTTCTTGAATGGATGTGGAAGCGGATGACGGGAAGCTTTAAATCGTCCGAAGAAATTCAAAAATGGAATTATTATGGAAAGATAGGAGTAAACTCTAAAAATACTTTTCAAAGTAAAAAGGGTGCTACCGGTGATGATGAAGAAGACTACAGGATACAGCCGATCACAATCAAAATTAGCCCGGATGAAAATTTTATCTCTACTTTTCTTAAAATACCAGGCTGTGTGCCAATTGACGTGCGCGCATGTTTTAAGAAACTCTACCCTCGTGCAGAAGTAGATAAGAAAAGCTCGCTTGCGTTTTACTTAAAAAAATGTGGACTTGGTGGAAAAGTGGATATGCCATACAACAGAATGTGGAAAATCTACTCAGAAGCGAGAGTGAATGCCTCCCTAAGAGAATTGGATTCTTCTGCCATACAAAACATGCGTGAAGTAGCATATTATTGTATTATAGATGCATTGCGCTGCCAGGAGCTTATGGTTAAGCGAAATGTAATTAATGAGTATAGGGAGGTCGCTTCTATAGCTTACGTATCTTTGTTTGATTCACATTATCGGGCAAATGGAATGAAGGTGCGAAACCTTCTGGGTGCTTGCGCCACTAAACGCAATATGCTGTTTAGCACGAGACAGTGTAAAGATATAGAAAAGGGTAAGTACCCTGGCGCATATGTATTTCCGCCTAAAAAGGGGATTGAGACGAAAAGACCCGTAACGGGGTTGGATTTCGCCTCGTTGTATCCCAGTCTCATCATGGCTTACAATCTCTCTCCAGAAAAAATTATATTAACTTATAGAGAAGCCAATATTGCGCAAAAAAATGGAAACAACTTGCATAAGATTGAGTTTCCATTTAATAACCGCATCGTCCGTGCTTGGTCTGTAAGACATGATAATCAATTCGAGAAGAAGGGTTTATATCCCGTCGTGTTAGAGGATTTGTTCAACAAGAGAGTAGAGCTTAAAGCACAGCTCGCCTCATTAGGAAAGAAAAAGGAGCGCCTCGGGAAGATGATAAGTTCAGCTAAAGAGAGAGGTAAAAGAGTTTCAGAAAGTTTAGATTCGGAATACTCATCCGTATGTTTCGATTATAACTGTTTGAATTCTAAGCAGTTCGCTTTGAAGGTATACATGAATACTTTCTACGGGGAAGCAGGAAATAGCAAATCCCCATTCTTTCTTCGTGAATTAGCTGGAGGGATCACTTCTGCGGGTCAATACAATATTGGTCTTGTTGCTAAATTCGTATCTGAAAAAGGTTTCGGAATAAAATATGGCGACACTGATTCTTTATATCTCACCTGCCCAGATAAGTATTATGAGGTATGCGATAGAGGTTTTAATGAAGAAAAGCTTTCCAAGGAGGAATACTGGGCTGAAATGGTTAATATTACTATGAGTGTGATGAAAAAGTTGCGTGACCAAGTAAATGCTTATCTTAGAATAAAAAACGGCACATCTTATCTTAAGATGGCGTATGAAGAGGTATTATTTCCCGTCTGCTTTACCGGCAAGAAAAAATACTTCGGTGTACCACATGAAGGGGTTGTCAATTTCAGGCCGGATAATCTCTTTAAAAAAGGAATTGATAGTGTAAAGCAAGGTCAGTCCCAGCTTTTCAAATCCATCGGAGAAAAAATTATGTGGGAGGCTATGGGTATAAATAACACGCGCTCAATTGACAAAATTGTTGAAGATACTCTTAGAGAAGCGCAGAACAAGGAATGGGATTTCAATGAATTTATCGTAATAGGAACATGGAAGCCTAAGAAACGAAATCTCTGCAACAATCGCTTTATGGATCGTATGAGAAAGAAAAATAAGAGGATTCCTGATCCTGGAGAACGGTTTAGTTATGTAGTTGTCAAAGGCCTACCTCTCTATAATGAAGAGGGCCGAAAGGAACCGTATAGAGTTGGAGACTATATGGAGTATGCAGACGAGCGTAATATGGAAATAGATATCAATTACTATTTAGATAAAACAGTGGGAATGTGCGCACGCTTTATCAATGAGGATGATAGATTTCAACCACCCCCTTCTCATAGGATCATGCAACTCAAAGATTCGGATGAGAAAGAAAAGCAGATTGACGCATATTCCCAGAATGAGGCAAAAAAATGGCTTAAAAGATATATAAAAGGCTTGCAATGAACTTTCTAGGTATTCTTAGCAGGGTGTGGCAATTCTGACTAAGAAGGCTTACAATATATTATTTATATTTTTTGTGCAATAATACTGGCTAACTTCAATTTCTATCTCCGATCTAGTCGCGAGGATCCCTTCAAGACCGGGACACCATTTATTAAATTTTATTTTTTTGTTCGCCTAAAGATATTGCATATATAAGATATCACGAAAATGACAACTGATCAAAGCCATTCATCTGATAGTGCGCTTTCTGAGGAAATTAGGGTGCTCGAGAAAAAAATAGAAGATTATTACTTTTTTTCACAAGCTCAAAAAAGATTTTTAGTTAACTAGTTTTTTTGAATACCTGTTGATCTGACTTCGAGTGATGAAATCACGAGAAGGCGGGCTTAAAAAAGAAGTTAATCGTCTAGGAAAATATATAGGAGAACGTGTGGACTGCCTAAAGGATAATGTAGATGAATTACTTGCTATGAGACGTTACAATCATAGCAAAAAATCCATAAATAGTTCATCCGAGTCCAGTTCATCTGAGTCAAGTTCATATGAAGAAACTATTACAATAGTTGAGAGATCTGAGGAACACGATTCGGATTATGCGCCATGCAAAGCACCTATCAGCCAAAAAAAGAAGATTCACAAAGTGAACCCAGGCAAAGTAATGCGTATAAAGAAAAAACCTGGCAACAAGAAGGCGAAACCTAGAAGGAATCCGACTCAAGCAGTCCGATCCTACTAGTCCAGAACAGAGACTCCCAGATAAAAAAATTTTCTTGGCGTTAACTGGTTAACGATCAGCTGAATATTTTTACCAATTTTGAGTACACCATGCGCAGTAAGTACATCACTATACTCTCCGCAGTATTGGGCATGTGATTTGGATTATGGGGTAGATCAATTAATAATTAATCCGTTGACTTTTTTTCCGGAAGGTTCTGGCATAATACACATATTACGAATCTTTGAATTAGTATTACGCAAGTCAACCCAATGTCCCTGATGATAGAATGAGACAAGAGTGGAAATTACGCCTCTTAATCTACCGATTTACAGATCTGATGTTTGCAAAGCAAACGGCACGCCTCTGGCCCCATTTTACATAATAAAACAAATTTCCATTTATGGGTCGTTAGTGGATTTGTATGGAGCACGGATGGGGGTTTAAAACAACGTGTAATTACGCAAATAAACGTGAGCGGTCTTCAAGATCTTGTGCGATCTTAGCAATAAACAGACCAAGCGACGTAATTTTTATTTCATCTAATTAAATCGGGTTAAATTCCATTTCAACGCGCAGTATATTATATTCGAAAAAGGGCTAGAGTGGTATTATGCAAAGCGCCTTCGGCTAAACCATTCACACAATCAAGAATATGGATTACAGTTAACATATGTATCCCCCGCTTATCGATGATCATACAATTGCTTATCAGAAAATTTGCGCCAATGCTCCTGATAATTTTATTCCTAGAATGGCTAATTTTTCGCAAAAATATTCATGCGGATCCGTCTGAAATTTTTATAAATATACCCTGCATTTCCCCCCACCCGACCTTTCAATTTGATCTGCAAATACCTATGTAATGAAGGTTTTTTAAACCAAACTGCGCCACACGCGATGAAGTCAACCGTTAATAATACACCATAATGGGACTTAGTTTACCATATTAACTTTGTAGATACACTCTATTATGTAGTTTATTCTTATTCTTTATAACAATTGTATTTAATAGTATAATAGTATTTGTGAAATTTTATTAATAAAACATTTTTGCGAAGCGCCTTGCGGCCAAGCATCTACGAAAAAAACATTATTATTTCCATTGCTTGAATATGTTGTGGGGTATAGGATACGATAATGCACTAACTTTTTTCGTCTTTAGGTATAATCACCAGACAGGATCTTGATAATTTTCTTTTTTCAGAAATAAGGGGTGTATTCAATTATTCCAGACCTAAATTTCGGTGTGGGTTCTCTATGCTAGTATATATGGATATTTATTTTTGCCATGCGATTATAAAACATATAAAAGGTCATTTCTAGAGAAGCACCTTGGCATTTTTTTCTCCTACAAGTGAAAAAATAAAATATCATTTTCGTGCAATTCTAAGATATCATATCATTTTCGCGTAATTCTAAGATATCAAACACCAATCTAACACAATGATCCAAAATTCTGATATTTCTTTGATCGTACTCTTCGGCGTTGTAATTACATTTTTCGAGATGGTAACCCGTGGTGCCCTAACAATGGATATGATCCAGGGCATTTTTTCGGGAAACATAACCATTTATATAATCTTTGCCGTTGCTATAATCTTTTTTCGTAAATATCTAAAGGGATCAAGAGATAATAATCTCGAAAAAATCATCTTAACATTAAGTAATGAGCTTCAAAGAATGCGTACAGAAGCTGAATGGAAAAACGATACAGCATCTCAAGGTAGTTTTATTGTCTTAAACGCATTAAAATATCTGATGTGCATATACTTATCTGCGCCTTATTTTTTTTTCTAGCGGGATCTAATCGATTCTCTTCCACAAGTCACGTTTCCATGGGACATTATTCCGAATATACGGAAGAATATGAAACATACTGGGTCGAATTTACGGCTCTTTTTAATAATAGGAGAAAAAAGGAAAGTCGCTCTCCAACACAAATGTACAACATTTTGTCAATCGAAATCGGCCTTAGCGCTAGCACATTAGCTAGTTTTTATCGACATCAAAAATCGCCAAGAACAACTTCTATGGATAAAATCATCGAATGGGTTGAAAAGGAGGGAAATAAGAAAGTAGTTAGTTTTAGCAGTAGTAGTAGTAATAATAGTAGTAATAGTAATAATAACAGTGGGGGTAGTAGTGCGAAATAAAAATGATGCTGGGACTCTCATTTATGGCCTAGGATCCGAGAACTCCCTCCTCTTAAAGTCTTTATTGCTCTTTGTGCATCATTTATTTCAAACGCTATCTTCCTAGCCATTTCTTTTTTATTTTCTAGTCGAAAAATAAAATAAAGAATTCGTTTGATTTTTAAAAAATATAAGTTATGAAAACCATCATTTGTATAAATCACGTGAACGTAAACGATTTATCCACTCACACGACTACTGCGCCATATATACGTTCAAAAGATAATCCTCTATTGCAGTATTGTCATTTATCGTGTAACAATACGTGACCTGTTGTACGACAATCTGATTGTTAGTATAAACTATAAAAAGGTGAATGTATGTACAATTATTTCCCACTAAAAAAAATTTTTCAAGCCATGTCTAACAATAATCCTCTTCCTTCGCCTGAAGAAATTAATGAATGGGGTACGAGTGCTGTTATTAATTTTCTGGAGTCTAGAAAAGAGCTTTTTCTTGATAATGATGATATCAAGGCAATTAGAACAAGTAAATTAGTTGGTTCAGATCTCCTCAACTATAGCACTGAAAAATTTCGAGCTTGTGGGTTGCAAGTAGGGCCGGCAGAAAGAATCATAAGATTATCTGAGGAATTGAGTAAGTATTCATGCGAAGATGTCATAGAATAGCTTAAAAATTGTTACCGTATGTTTACTAAACGCATGTGAATTTCAGGACCAAAGATTTGCAACGTCACTTTCAAATATCGAGTAAAAGAAAACGAAACAGTAGAGTGCAACAGGAGAGACCATGTGGTATCGATAACATATTATTCGCTGACAGAACTAACTTTGAAACTATTGCAACACGCACAAAAAGAGTTTAAGTTTCCGGCGACGACACACGACGAAATTGTGATCAAACATAATAAATCCATTTTAAGCAATGATACTACCGTGAGATCTTTATTCAAGACGAAAGAAAATATCGAATTAATCGTTACGTTAGATAAGAAGTGCTTTTCCAGTTATAAAAATTTGCGAGAGGTCCTCCAAAAACATGGAATCGACAATGACGAAGTACGTAGTATACCAATGTTTTTTCCTAATTGTGAAAATGAAGAAAATTATAAGGAAGTATTTGAAGATTGTGTAAAGGAAATAAAGGTTCGAGTTACAATATTTTCTTCACACCGTTGTGTGTATGTTGAATATATTGATTCATTACTTAATATTATAGGCTAGATTGTCGGCGATTGGCAATGTGGGTGATCAGAACGAAGCACAGCGAAGCCACTTTATTACGTCAGTATTAGTCTCGGCAGTAAATTCAGTTCCAAACACCATCCTTCGTTCACAGTTTGAGATTATTGGAGACGTATCTGCCGGCAGGGTAGATTATGCAATAAAGAAAATTTATCCACAATTAACAGGTAGTGGGTTTGAAGAAATTATCTGCGTCACTGAAGCGAAGCAAATTGATATAAAAGTAGGCGTTGCTCAAAACTTAATGCAACTTGAAGGTTCGTTAGATTCAAACAAAAACAAAAAGCGTAAGCTTGATGAATTGTATCCAGATCAGGTGTATTCAGAATATGTCTACGGAATCGTATCAACCGGCACTGATTGGTATTTTTTGAAGCATACTCCTGATCAAATTTTCTGTAGTCAAGCATCCGATTATATACCTTTGGTAACAACACAGTTAAATAATGATGAGGATTTGAGGAAGGGAATTAAAACGGTCCTTGGCAAAATTATTTGGATGTTAAAGGATCGAGATCGAACAAATAAGAGACAACGCACATAAGAATATATGGTAGATTTGTATTGTACGTTCTGATATCCTGCAGTAAGACAAGTGTAAAATGATATAAGGTTATACAATAGGATGATTTAAGATTGTAAATGTTATATAGTTTACAAATTTGTATTAAATTTCGTTATTTTTTAATAAATTAATTTTCGATAGATAGTAAAGAGCTATAATAACGTGGCATTATCATGAATTATTTTTGGTTCATTTAGAATTAAATCGTTGTGTGAAACAAAGGTAAATATAATACCTATAGACAAAAATTCGTCCAATACTTCTAATTCAGAAAATATAGCAAATGAGAAAGACGAATTTATACCTGAGGAACTCGATGATCCTTTAAATCCTAACTCAGAATCCTCTGATGAGGAGAATGAAAATTATTCTTATGATGAGGACGAGATAAATAATATAAACACGATGGTTTCTGATGATGATGAAGGTTATTACTACAATTTAAAAACCGGCGAAACTTATAGAAAATCAGATTGTTCAATCTACGCATATTAAGCTGGATCAAAAAATTTTTATTTCATATCGACACTTTTTTACCTGTGTCTCTACCCGCCTTCTCGTGATTTTATCACTTGAAGTCGTGGAGTCTGAATTCTGCTTTCATGAGATCAAAAGTGACCATCTACTTCCCTGGCTTCGAGCAAGTAATTGCGAGAAGACAGAATTACATTGTAAAAAATCATGTAAAAATAAAAAATTGGGAGCCCAGCGGACCCCCCTTTATTATTATAAAGAATTATATTGCCGGGACGACAACATAATATACAAATAAAAAATATGTCGCTGTTACATGATGCGAATAAAAAAATTATATTCATTTTTTGTCTAGCTTTTTGGGGGATTTAATATGATCCAACAATGAACTGTCATTAGATTTTGATTTCAAAATTTTAGTTTCAGATATCGTTGTTCCACCGTATTTTACTTTGTATGTATCTAATTTTAAAAAAAATAAAAGACTTAATTCATATTGATTCGTAAACATAACTACACAGTATAAAGTTTTCTTACGAGTTTCAGTAACTTCCACAGGTTTTGGTTTTGGTTTTGGTTTTGGTTTAGATGGTTTGTTAGAATTGTTGTCGGTTGGGGCGTTGGAATTATTAGTGCTACTCATTTTTCGTTCCTAAAATACTTAAATACCTAAATACAAGAGATCATAGTAAGTTTTTATAGTCCCCGTTAAACGAAATAGCAAATTACTTTAAAAATAAATTACGGGCGAGTAAATCAAGTAAAAAATATATATGAGCAAAAAATAGCGTTATTGCTAACTTATCTTGTGGGTGGGAACTTGCTTATTTATACTTCATATTCGTTCGGTCTGAGAACGTGCCAGAAGGAAAAATACATTAGTAATTACGTTACCCAAATCCAACGCCAGTTTTTTCTCCATAAAGCAACTCCGCTCGGTCATAAGTTCCAAACACTGATCTATTTTGTTATTTTTCTGGTAAAATTAACCCCCCTTAGATTCGACGATCTCTCCTGCGAAGTGAAAAAGTTAATGATCTCGACGATCTGGGAATTCCAAGTTCCTGCGACATATGAATTTGGATAAAACTACTGATAAATAACGTTGTACTCTTCCCTCTTATAGCCCTTTTAAGCCTCATTCGTGTCTTTTCTTATCGTAAGATCGTGTATAATAAAGCTTCTAGTCGTTATTCGTTTAGTTAGCTGTTAACAAAAATCGACCGTGAGAAATGCAGGAGTGACATAAAATTTAATGCAGGTCATTAATTATTAAAGCCGGTCAAGGTTTTATCGCCCATTCGAACTGATAAACCTGAATATTAACGTCTGCAGAAAAGCGGACCCGTGGGACCGTTAAGTCATATGATGGTATGACATAATAAATACCTTCTTTTTTTCCAGCGAATTTATTTCGGGGTTGATAAAAAATCGTGATTATGAAGCTTCTATTTTCGGGTTAGTAGTTAAGCGAATTCGATAAAAATTATTTATAAGAGACGGCTGTGTTATATAATAAATATTTATGGCTTATTTGTTATCTTATTTTCATGTACGTACGTGTATTAATGATTTTTATATAGCGATAGTCCTTTTTTTATTCCAAATATCATATGTTATTATGCAAACTAGTCCCACAGCCCTAATACCGATACAGTTTTATTTTTATACGTGTTAATCTTGAAACCGACCTTGCATAATTGAGGGTTAAAATATAACTACAACACGTACATATCTGCGATGTTGAATTATTTACAGCCAAATATGGCATGATTTCATAGCCACATAACATCGGTATAAAATCCTTCTAGAGTAATTTTTTTACCGATATTACATTACACTTTCTTACACTAAATTGCTTTTGCGTTGATAAGATGGTTGCTGGAGCTATTTGTACGGGTATGCTTAGTCAAGCAAAAAATTTTTTTCATTTTTAATGAAAAATAGGGCCTCTGACTATGCATGTTGTGAGACTCAACGGGCTCATAATTACCTTAGGTAGCCCAGTACTTAGGTGAAGGTGATCATCTGGTCCGCAAAAAATATGCAATCTATCCTTTATAATATAGTCTTCTCAGGTATAGTTATAGCCTTTCGAGGCAGGCCTAGGATCCGACTATTACCTCCCTAAAATTTATCTTTTTCTGTGTTTATAAACCACTTATAGAGGGCGCGATCGTCAACTATCATTGTCTATGTAGTAAGGAGAGGAAGACCGAACGAGCTTCCCGCGGGTTAGTCCACTGAACTACAAGATGAGAAATAGTTTGAATGTATCCACCTCAAAATCTAAATAAATATACCTTTTTTTTCTTTTGCCCTGGGCGTGATCGTCATCCTCAATGTGGGGCGTGTGTAAGGAGGAAGGTGACGCAGACTTCCTAAACAACCGAACCACACCGCAGAGAGTGATTGAATGTATCCACCAGAAAAAAAATATATAAACAAAATCTAACCTTACCAATGTTCCTATACTACCATTGATGAGTAAAGTTAAATTCGATCTGAACCGGGTATGTATTACATTTCAAATTTATTAATTTGTGTTGAATCGCTTTTGTGTTGATAGATCAATCACCTGAGTTATTTGTACGGGTATATCTGGAGATGGCAGGAATGTCTTGCTCAGCATGAAACGTAAATAAAATTAATTTTCAATACAGGCATAGGTGGTTGTCCACCGTTTTCCTAATGCTATTCTCGAGATCACAATTGAGTGATCGGCGTGAACAATTTGTTTACGCGTACGCGAAATATATTTTATATTGTTAACTTCGTTAACTATCTACTTCCGACACAGGTAGAAGAGTGTCGATGTGAAATTTTCGCCAAGACAACGGCTCTGGTGTATTGATTCACAATTTGGCCAATTTTATTCATTAGCTGGGGCGCTTTTTTCCTTGTGCTTCTGCCTCGCCTCTATCTCCTTTTGCAGGTTCTATGGTGTGTCAAACCTTAGCCGAATTGCAAGAGGATCATCCTCCGATCTGCTAAGATCAAATACAACAAACTCGCTTTTGCGTAGATAGCTGTTAATAACCATGGATGCACCCTTTACATTATCGGTATATCGTCCAACAATTTTAGACACATCTTGGATACTGCTACCAGAGTTAAATAATACTAAATGAGTTGAGTTTTCGCGAATGAATGTATCGACTTTATGATATTTTTGCGTCTCATATATACATGAAATATTTCGGTGGCGTCCATTTCCAAAAAACTGACCAATTCGATTTTGTATATGCTCTGGAGCTAAACATAAATCCTCAATAATAATTAATTTGCTTCTTTCAGGTGAGAAAGTTCTTGTACTAGGAATTTTTTCAGGAGGAATATAACTGAAACTAATATCCTTGTAGTAAGGCGCTCTTGGGTCTTTTGAAATCATATTATATATGTATCTCACATATGCCCATTTTGGCTCATCAGGATGATACCCGCAAATAATTAGATCGTCACATTTAATGTAGCGAGACCCACCCCTTTTCCCTCTTTGCACATATTCATCCTTATTACCAAGAACAAGATTTGCAAGTAAGTTAGTCTTACCTGTACCACTTCTCCCAGTAACTAACATGCTAAAAGGCCATGTCATCGCCGGATGACCAATATTTCGGGATGATTCATGTTTTGTAACTTCATCCATATCCAAAAGACGAAGTTTCATAGGAGGTATTTCTGTCTTTGAATTCTTCTGCATGGCGGATTGGATATCTATAAACTGGATAAAAAATTTCTTCCTTTTTGGTTGGGCGAAAAATTTGCCTGTATATATACCATATAATTAATATTAATACTAAGGACAAAATAACAAGCTTGAATGTAGGCAGAATTGTATACTGATCATCAACTAAAGCATTACCAACCCCTAACGTAACAATAGGTAAGGTTGAAATACTATCGAGTTTCTCTTTCGATTTTTGATCAGCATAGTCTATTGGGGACTCTACTACATTTTTTTCTATGCTTTCATCAGGTTCAAGCTCTGTGCGGTGTGAAGGAAAAGAGGGGGTCTTAGAGAAACCGGATACTTCTTCTACTATATCGCCACCTGTTTTTGAATTGTTCGATGACAGATGTGGTTTTAGAAAGATCTGTTCTAGTTCATCTTCCAGATCACTTACTCTAGATCGGAGACAGAAAATTAATCCATCCCTAAATGATGAATTTCGTGTAACTTGCTCTAGTTCATTTTCCAATTCCTTCACTTTAATCTCATGAAGTGACGGGGTAGTATCGGTATTCTTTAATAAAGCTTTTTGTGCTGTCTGTTCTAACTCTACCTCCAGTTCATTTATTCTAGCCTCAAGAGGGGTGATTTCAGAATTCTTTAAATTAATCTCAGACTTTAGCGATTCTATTTCTTTTAACTGCTTAACATTAAGATTGGCATGAGACTTTCGTTCGCAAATAATTCGAGAGCCAAGCTTATTATTCAAACTATCAAGTTGCTCAGTTAGGGGGATAATTTGATTCATAGAATTTCGCATACGCTTATTTTCTTCACGTGAGTGGTTCAGATCATTTTGCATATGCTTATTTTCATTATCTAAGATATGATATTTAGTTATAAGCCGTTTGGCAGATCTTATAAACATTTCACGATCTTTTTTTAGCTGTTCTTCAAGCTCTAAACGGCTAGGCGGATATCGATTGGATGGAGGGCTTCCAAGTTTACTGCCATCACTATTACCTACATCATTCAAGGTATAGATTCGAGGCATAGTTTTTTTTATCCCGCAAATATGGACAAAAAAATATTTTTTCGAAATAATATGCACTTTCTATATTTCCAAAATAATACATTTATCCTAATTATCCCAATAAATCTTTTTCGAATTAATGTATTTATCCTATTTATTCTATTAAATTATTTTCGAAATAATACATTTTTTCTATTTATCCTATTTAATATTTTTAAAAATATTTTATATGAAAAAAATACACCATCACGATTATGGTTAGACAACGTATAAATTGTAATGCGCCTTTATTTTCACCAGCTGATTACGATTTTATTATGCAACGTGAAAATGAAAGGCCAAGGAAAAAGGTTTTAGAAGAATTAATGCACAAATATAACACATCAATGAAACGCATATATCAAATTTGGAGAGGCATAGAAGCTAATAGAATTGCCTCGAATTGGCCAATAGCTGATATTTCTAATGCGGAATCAGGTCCTGGGGTTCTTATAGAAACCACCCCCTCTGTGAGCTCTTATGCGGGAGGTCTTGAGAGAGACCATCCTCCTGCTATTTCCTCTCCACCTGCCTTACTACTGAAGAAAAATAGCCGAAAAAAGAAAACAGGCAAAACAAGCGTATCTTATACTGAGACGGAGTTAGAGATGCCTTCACAGCATAGCGCTAATACCACCAACAATACTGATATTATATCTAAAATGGGATCTGAACTTGAAGAAGTATTAAAACAAATAGATGATATTAAATAACTCACTTCTTTTCAGCAAGTATTTTTATAGCACTTATTGCTTTACCAAGCCATTTTTCAGCTTTTGTAAGATGCTCTTCAAGCTTTGCACAGTTTACGCACTTTTTTTTAAATCTTTCTCACCAGTCGGGCTAGAAAAATCGGTAGATGCTTGTTCTTGCTCCTCTTTTGGCGGATCCTTAGCTACCGGGGCCTTGCTAAATGTTGGAATAACATAGGTCTTCCCATGTAACTTTATGCGGAACTGGTTTTTGTTTGGCTCGGGAACACCTTGGAGCTTTCGAATATTAGACATACCTAAAAATAGCATTGGTTCAGGTTCGCCATTATCTATACGTACAAAATTTCCAATGACCGTGACAGTCTTGCCCTCTTCATCCTTCATAGTAACTGGCACATCCGTGTACCATCCTAATGAATCAGTGATATGCTTGGAATTGCCCTTTATAGCAAAATCTGATGGCTTATCTGCCTTCCATCCAAGCGCCTTAATTGCCGGGTCATTTATACCACCAAATTCACTTCCAGGATCTAAAAAAGATTCAGAAATCGCTAAATCATTTATATTTGCATTCAGATATTGTAGAGATGAAAACCACTTATCTGATTCCTTTTCCGGAGCCTTTCGGGACAAGCACATTTTACGCATTGCTGGTGAAAGCTTTGGGATTAGCTCATCATACGTTTCAGGTTGGCTGGATTCTGTTAGTACCTGTTTTTTTTTTCTTGTGGATAGTACCCGGCCCACCTATTATTTTCTTCATCATAACCACTATTATTATCTTCCTCATTATCTGAAGTTGGGGGCGTGTATTGGGATCGTGTAGATGGAAGCTGGGGATAGTAACGTGTAAAATTTGATTTAGCTACAGGTTTTTTGGATTGATTATCGAGCATCATCCTCCCGAATTGAGATGTCATTTGACCGATTTCATCTATTTTCGATTCTATTCTATCTATTCTAGCATTTTGATTTGATGAATATAATCGTTCTGAGCGAGGTCTTTGAAAAGGTTTTACAGGGTAATCTGCATCTAAATCATTCTTATTAAGTATACCTAAATCTTTTAAGAATTCTGCTACGTAATAATTTTTCATACCTTCCTCCGTTTTTAGTGAAGATGGGGGACCTCTCGGCTGTCTAACTGGTTCTACTATCTGTGGAGCAGGTGCTTGTGCTTTTTGAGCAACACTTTGCTGGGCCATTTGTGATTGAAAATCGTTTTTTTGCTTTTCTAATAAAGATTGGTATTCAGTTTTTTGCTGTGCCAGGGCGTTTTGGATTGCTTTTTGCATATCTTCTAAAGAAATTCCTTGCTGTTGAGGAGCTGAAACGGGTAAGGGTTCATATATTTCTCGAGATGCTCGCTGAGAAACTAATAGATCGGGTATTCTATCTCTTTTATGTCTAGCTATTCGGCGTAATTCTATCTCATAAAGCTTTTTAGCTAATTCATCCAATGGCAGATGTTCGTCGATATCCTCGGCTTTTTCAAGCCATGGAAGTGGAAGAGCATCTAAGAACTTTCTACGTAATTCTTCGGGCCTATAGTTGGCTCGTCTACCTATTCGTAATATTTTTCTATATAATCCATCTATAGTCATATTCCCCTTTCCAATTGTTCCATACATCAAACCCCGAAGTTCTTCTTCTACTGTAGGAAAGTGTGTTTTTAGCCACCATATGGCTTGACCGAAACGAATGCTAGCTACAACTACTGTAGTACCATTGTTAGCATTTGGTGCATTAACAGCAATGTTAGTAGGACGACCACCTGCTATGTGCCAATCTTCATCCCAAGGACCCTCTACAGCTCTTAATTTAACTATTGTATTACCAGGTTGGCCGAGTGCCTCATTCAATGCTTGATTTCCTATTTGAACTGCTGTTCGCCCGTTTATAGCTACTAAGTTGGCCTGCCCTGTATTATCAAGTAAGTTTGCTAATTCCCAATTCTGTTTTGTAGTAATCTCTTCGTCAAACCATTCTAAAGCTCTTCCTCTCATACAGCCTCTTAAATATCCTATTGCTACTTCTCTTCCTGCTGGTGGACCTCCCGCATTATCTGCTGGATCTACACCTTGGTTTTGCAAGTATAATCTTAGTTTCACAAGAAAATCTGGGATATCCTCGTCCCAGTCAAAAAATGGTTGTGGTATTCCTGCCATTCCTATTCGTTGTATATTTGGTGGGTTATTCTGTAGCGCAAAAATTTGTTGATTTAAATTTAAAATATTCTGGCGAGAATTAATTTCCTGAGCCTTCCATTTTTGATACCGATTAAATACCCAGGCGCGATTGAATTCTGACAAGTCAGCCTCAGCTTTGCACCTTCGATATATTAGCTGAAGGGCTAGCTTTTCTCCTAGCAATTCACCAATACGGGTTTGCTTTCTTGCTATACAATCTATCATTCTGTTTACTTGGTTTTGAGCATTAGTCTGTAACTGATCTCGCTCTTGCAATGCCTGATCTCGCTCCTGCCTATATATATCACGGTCATATTGTTCATTTGCTAGTTCTTGTTGTAGGAAAGTATATTTACGTCGAATTGCTCTTGTTGCTCTTTTAATTTGATTTGTTAAAATAGTTTTACATATTGTTGTATCATCTAGGGATCGGTCTATAGCATCGGCCAATTCAGCTATTGTAGCTATGTCTAAATCAAAATTATATAAGTCTGAAGAATTTTCATCTGAATCAGATTCGTCTTCATTATTATTCCACGCTTGTGCATTTTGTAAAGCCTCTCGTGTATTTATAAGTCTGAAGAATTTTCATCTGAATCAGATTCGTCTTCATTATTATTCCATGCTTGTGCATTTTGTAAAGCCTCTCGTGTATTTATAAGTTCTAATCTATCTCGGTATCTTAATAATGCTAGCGCAAAATTTTGACAAAGAAGGTCTGTAATACGATTTTTTTGTTGGGCTATTTTGTTAATTCTTTTAAATTGATTATCTCTTACCGTATTTATTTCTCGTTTAAGGCGCTCATTTTCATCTACTAATCTTGTTGTATAATCTTGTGCTTTAGGTGTGTTTCCAGCTGATTTTGATATTTCTCGTATTCGGGTTTTTAGTTTTGTTTCGCGCTCATCAAATTCTGATATTAATCTATCTTTATTAGAAATTTCTTTGTCTTTCTTTTTATTTTCTTCTTCAAGTTGATGGACAATTCGTTTTAGTTTTGAGATTTCTTCTATTAATTCCTCTTTTTCTTGTGTAGAAAGTTCGATGGCGCTATTTAATTCTTCTTCAAGAAATCGTATTCTTTCTTCTCGAATACCAATAATTCTCTCTAAGGTATATAGACGTTTTTCGAAATTCCTATTTGATTCAGCTAATTGCAATACCGTCTCATGGAGTTCTTGATTACTTTGTTGTAATTCCTCCATATTTTTTATCTACTATAATTTATACAGATCGAGAAATTGCTAAATCTATAAAAGAGAATCGGAATGGGGGACCCAATTATTTATATTGATCCAGATGAGGCTCATAGTATAGAACAGAATCTTACTCTACGAGAGATATATTATCGATCTGAAGGCTATTATCGGACTGCTGAAAAAATGCGGGATGCTTGTAATGAAGCTGGACATAAGTTTTCTCTATCTGTGATAAAAAAATGGTTAAACCGCCAAGCTTTGCATCAAATTCACAAGCCTCGACCAAAGTTTATTCAGTATGCTTCCTTTAATAATATTCAAATTTTAAATGAAGTACACCAGTCCGATACTACGCCTATGCCTCACGATAAGGTTGGCAATCGGATTTACAAGTATAGGGGCGTTATCAAAGACGTTGCAACCAGATATCGGCGCAGTTTTCCTTTGACTGATAAAACAGCCATACAAATGGCTAGAGTGATTCAAAAAATTTATAATGATTTGAATTGCCCACTTAACTGGCCAAAACTTTTAATCGTAGACAAAGGAACTGAATATATAGGTGAGTGTAGAGATTTATTACTCGAATATGGCGTAAAAATTCAGTATGCTAAATCTAAGGAAGGCAATGCTATAGCAGAGCGTGATCACCAGGAATTTGAAAAACACTCTTTTATTCAACAAGATGCTAAGGATTTACTGTTACCTTTATCAAAACGTTCTAGAGACTGGGTTAGAAGCCTTCGCATTAATGATGATAATTTTAATAGTGCCCCTACTCGGCTAATAGGTATGTCTCCTAATGAAGCGGTAAAAAAAGCATTAAAAGGGAAGAAGATAATTGCGAAACCAGCTATAAAACATAGGAGACCTATCGGATATGATGAACCTTGTTTATCCCATTTTGACATAGTGAGATATCTTCTTAAACCTGGCGAACTAGAACATGGTCCTGCTAAAAGAAGAATTACTGATATGAATTGGTCTCCTCAGGTTTATTATATCCGCAAATCTTTGGTACAAAAAAATCAGCCAATCTTGTACTGGCTAGAAGATGAAAAGGGTAATGGTCCAGAAAGATCTTTTGTAAGAGAAGAGCTTCAAATCGTAAAGGAGGTTGAATACCCCCCTCAATGGGTACTCACAAATTAAATTTCACATTGATTTGATAAATCGTTCGTTTAGTCACGTGTGCATTACAATTTGTAATGCTGATCACTTCCTACCAATATCTGTTTTAACCTGTTCTTATTCACTCTTTACTAAAGCATACCATTTTCCTGGAGTATGCTTACTGTTTTTTGCTATTCCTCATCAGTATCAAGCCATGAAGTTGTAACTCCATCATCTTCAAGATCACGACGGATTATTTCTTCTCCCATCAATCTTTCTCGTATTTTCATGTCCATATATTCATTGGGGTCTTCTTCTACCTCTTTTGCATAACCACACATTCGTGCATCGGCCTCCATTCTATCACGGAATGTAATAGAATCAAGCTTATCTTTTTTTGTGATAGTCATAAAGTCATCTGGATTCTCACCTAGTTCAATCGCCCTTTTTCTGAGGCGCTCCTCTCGCTGAGCTCTGGCACTTTTTTCCCCTTCTTTGATCCATTGAGGTCCCTTCATAACCGGATCTGATGGAAATGAGTTGGGTCTAGGCTCAGGATCGGGTTTGGGTTCAAGCTCATCGGTTACCGATTCAGAGGGAACTTCTTTATCGCTAGAGATGATTGTCTCTAGAGACTTAGATTCTTCAGAGGTTCCAGATGTTGAAACAACTGGGGGTTCCGCCTGTTCTACCACATAATCGAAAAGGTCTTTGGTCGAATTGTCCCAGTTGTCAGCCTTCTTGCCCTTACTACTAAGTAGTGGTGGTGGTGTATTTTTTTCCAGCTGTGGTGAGGCAAATTTTGAGGGAAGTTTTTCTGGCATATTGAATATGGGTATGTCTGTGGTCTCATTGGCTGGCAACTCATCTTGAGGTATATCAGAAAATTCTTCGATATTACCTAGGCCAGATTCATGGAGCTTGGCTATGATCTTGGAATGGTCAAGAATATACTGATATACTCTTACTCCATTATCTCGTGAACGTGCCCGATCAATACCGATTTGTGAAAACTTCTTTCCAAGAATAGCACTACTAAATGGTTTTTCTCCATTACTTCCACACCATCCAAGATATTCTTGATATAATTCTGTGCAGTTCAGTTTATCAATCCTTTCCACTGACCATAAGGATATATAATTGATTATGAACCGAATAGGATTAGGGAGTTGATCTCGCATTGTATCCGCTCTCATTTTCGTATTAGGAATGTTTTGTGGTATCCAATCCGAGAGGTCTCGCTTTAATAAATAATTCATAAAAACACCAGGTGTATTTGGATTATCTAAGATTTTTCCTAAGCGCTTAAAATATTCCATGTTTCCTTTACATCGAGGTGATACATCTAAACATACAATATGGCCATCACCCATTTCAATGCGAAGTGGTGCATCATGGTTACTTAAAACTATATATCCAGCAAAGTCTTTAATTGTCTTAGGCTCAAGCCCTTTACACTCTATTGTCACGTATGGTTCAGTGATTAGTGATTTTAAGTGATCATTAGCCTTATGCCATTCTCCAGAAGCCATTCCAGTTTCGTTTAAAAGGATAAGTTTTCGCGCCTGTATACAACTATTAAATCTTCCTAATACTTTTCCAAGATCTGATGATGCAAAGAATAATTCTTGTCCCAACACTTCTTTTCCAATAAAATCTGTTAATATATTTTTTCCAGAACGTGGAGGGGAGCGCAATACTAAAACAGTACCAGGTTTTTTATCAGGATATTGTACAAGATATGAAAACCAATTAAGAACATATTCTGAAAGAACGTTATTCCTATTACACCAGACATTTTCTATATGCCAGATAATTGGTTCAATAAGAGCAGAATCTATTTCAATGATAGGTGCTTTAAAACCCAAGAAGAGGTTGAAAAGTTTATATTTGGTGGTGGATTGCATGGTGGGTATGGGAGGAAATCGATGCCTCGATATCGAATTAAACCTTCTATAACTGCTCGATCTATTAGATTTACTAATTTTACCGCTTCTCCTCCTAGCTCAACTAAGCTAATTTCGTACTTTGCTATATCTAGTTTAGATGACATCTTGAAGAAAAGACTACCATTAGAATCCTCAAGTTTCAATACCCACAACTTTGTATCTGTTTGAATACATGCTATTGTTGCTTGAATGGCTTCATATACAGCATTGCGGGTGAATTTTTCTTTTGTACCACACATGTCAATTAGATCTCCCCATACGAAGTGATCATTAGGATCTGAAATTCTGGATCGGTCTAGTTTTGTAGGGCTTGGAAGCTTTTGTTCTTGGTCCAAAGCAGTTTCGCTAATGGTGAGCTTTAGTGAGGGATTTCTTATTTCAGGTTTTCGATCCTGATCGGCACGATAACAATAAAATCTGTATGATTTTTTATATCGTATAATATATGCATTTTCATTTGTATGCTCTCGATCACATATTGGACAGTGTGATGGGGAGTTGCGAGTTAGAGAAAACAAATTAGGGGTGTTTTCTGAAGGAAATGAGAGAGTATACCCTTCGACACAATTATCTCTGAGTAACAATTCCACAAAATCATAATCTGCCTGAGTGATTTCGCCATTAGCATCATTACACCTTTTGACTTCTGTTTTTGGTTTATCTAATATAGGGCTTTTTATGATTTTTGATTCATCATTGGGTGGACGAAGCATGAAATCAAAGATAGATCCATTTTTTGGATGTATGGCTTTCTTTACCCGTATATGCTCTTTAGTTTCTTCAACATACTTGGACGATCCAAGCATTCGCAAGGAGAAAGAACTTTTATTTGCAATATTATCAATAATACTTTTCTCCTGTAAACTTACCGGAAGTTTCTCATGGACAAGCTCAGTGAATGCTGCGACCTGAGCGATATTTTGGAGTCTCATACCGAAAGTTGAGATATGGTATGATATTTTTTTCGCATCACTACTACTAGCAATAGTTATAGTTTTATGGTCCCATTCTGGGAATATCTCATGAGACGCTTTCATAAAAGCACGATTAAGTGAATCTAGTATCTCTTTGCCTGTTAGTTTAGGGTTGATGCTATCATATACTTCTCGTGGTAAATCGAAATCTATAATAGGACGGAGTGGCTCGTCGCCATCAATATATTCGTGTAAGGAATGGCCTTCACGATCTGAGAGTATGGCTTCTATTCCGTCCTCATCATCTGCGCCAAGGAAATTTCTTGGTCTAACACTATCATCACGAATTTTATATAGGTATTTACCTACATCTGACACTTTAAACCTACAATGGTAGGGGGCGGGGGGCGGGGGGCGCGTCGAAGTCTTCTGAAAGGTTAGAGGGTTGGGTCATTTTTCTGATATGATATCTAAGTATACCGAAGGTA